CATACTTTAATAATTTTAGAGCATGTTAAAACATTTAAAGCATCCGTGAAATATTTTAGAACCATGTGAACCATGTACACTAGCAGGTAGATCATGATTTTATGAACTTAACAAAATTGGTTTCATAATTTTTGGATTCCTACAAAATTTTATATTAAATTCACAAGTTTTCTTAGAAGCTAAATTAGGAATTGTCTTAGAAATGAAAAGGCCGGCGGTAACCGGATCTGGCCCGGTAGCCCAATACGGCCCATGCGGAACACGGGCGTGCGTAGCAGGCCAGCCTAGCCACGGCCCAAGGCGGGGAGTCTATGTGCGTGCTGACGGTTTTATAGAAGAGTCACCAATCTATCCATTTATTACGTGGCACTATGTGCACTATTGCGACAGAGACACATTTTGCAGAAAGACCCCTGAACTACCCTATCTTTACCACGGGATGGTCTCCGGCGGCCTGCGCACGATGGCGCAACTCCGGCCGGCGTAGCGCAAGTACACCGACCAATGGAGCAAAACACTAGCCCCACAAGCGAACCGATGAGAGCCGTGGAGCCAAGACAAAACCCTAGGCAGTGATTAGGCATTAAACGGTGACTTCTATCGCGCTGCACACGGCGGCGGACCAATCACCACGGTGGCGAGGCTTTTCTCGACGAGCTAGAGCGATGACGAGGACAACGAAAAGGGTGGGAGCAATAGGAGATTACCACGAGTCTAGCCGAGGTGACGGTTGAAGCGGAGGTGGCCCGAGCAGGTCCGGCCACGTGCACGTGCACCCCGCGGCAGTGCTCTGAGCGCGGCACTAACGTGCCAGGACCTCACCCGCGTCGTTCCTGGTCAAACTATGGTGAGCAACCATACGAGAGGACCAAAGCAAACTCCATGGAACCACCAATTGAACCCCTACCAAGGGGTAGGGCCTTACCCCCAATCGTGCTCTGTTCCGGAGGTGAGATGGCCTACGGCGAGCAAAACGTCAAATTGGCCGACTACAAGGCTCGTTTGCACTTTTAGTGCGGGTCAGTTTGCTAGCTAGCTTCCAATCCTAGCCGCTGGGGCACTGAATCGAGATGGGATAGCATGGACCGCGCGTTAAAAGCTTGCGAAGCGGCGTGGCTCCTTTGACGGTGAGGCAATGGGGCAGCGGCTTCCAGGCCCGGCCAACCTCGGTCGAGGCTGCGTTTAATGAGCGAGAGCATCCACACGGTACAGCACAAATGGAACATGTCGTGGGTGCCGGGATGGGACGGCTTGGTCTTGGTAGGGCACGGACGGCGGTAGCGGAGACATGACCACACGAGCGAGCGGTGCGTCGGTTAGCGCCTGCGTATGGCCACGCAACGACGTCGAGATGAGGGCATGGTAGGTGGGTTGAGAGGCGGAGGGCGAGCGCCACAGAGGTCGAAGTGAATCGGAGGGCGGGGAAAATGCCACAATGAGCGAGTGACGGCAGTCGCAGCCTCGCCTCGGCGCTATGCGTGGCACAGCGGCTCGGTGCGGCTTGGCCAGCAACAGGGCAGGCGGGGTGAGAGGCGCGTCGTGACGTCATCTCGGCAGGTGGCACTGGCCTGCAGGGAACGGCCATGACCAGCCCGGGGCCGAGCCTGGCGCCAGCCGCGCACGCGCGCGAAGCGACCGTGCCCACAGGGCCAAACAGACGAAACGGTGACACGCACGCTTATTAAAGCGAGCAAAAAACTACTTACCAACTCGATGAAGACTCAACCAACTCTATGAACCCAAAGTCGATATTAACACCTAGCTAACAAAGCAAACTTCACGTCCAGAGAGCGACCGTAGAGGGAGATAGGGAGGTGCCAATATGGGTTCGTCACATTGAACGCCGATTCGCGAACCGAGCACCGAATCAGGGGTCGCAGCGCGTTCTAGTGAAGTTAGGGTAATTTTAGAGCGGACAACGTGACATCCAACACAATGTCGACCTATGCTATGCTCAAGCACTCACTTTGATGCAATCGACAATACTAAAACATGCAGCTAGTATTTAAATATTTTTGTTAGAAATTAAATGTCAAAATAGCATTATCTATTATCATTTCAGACTTACAAGAATTCAATGTCCGATTAGTACTAACCTCTCCTAACACTTTTGGTTGAATTTTTAAAAGGTCTAAACCTTGCCAGATTCAACTAACAATTGTACCATTACCTAGCCCATACTACATACTAACTCTTAGAAACAAAATATCTAAGCACTTCCTAATTAGTTTGTCCAATATAGTTCGCCAAAGAATGATACTTTTAAACACAAGTTCAAGCGTTTGCCGGCAACGAAATGACCCTTCTTAAATCCCAAGTTTGATTTTTGAACTTCCCAAATTACTAACTAATAGTATTTATTCTCCAAAAATTAATGTTGCATTTCCATCTACTACACTTACACTCTAAACTTTATTTAAGTACTACATACAAATTATATTTAATTTTTGTTTATAAAAATTGCTTCTGTGCCAATGTTTAGAACTACTTATTCTACATTTCGTGTTAGGATTTTTCATTAACATATATAGGTATTTAAGTAAACTAAGTCACTATATTTATAGATCTATCTCTTAGGCCATAATCTCAGTGTTTAGCGAGCTCGTAACACCAGAGGTGTTACAACCAACCACCCTTAAAAAGAATCTCGTCCTGAGATTCGGTGCAAGAACAAAAAATGAGACAACGCGATTACACTTCGTAGATATGAAATTACACAAAAAACTACACGACTTCGAATACTAAACCACTCGGAATTTAGGGATACATGGTTAAGAGCAACCTAGTATAACCAAGACTTAACCTAGAAGTCGGGATAGACAAGGGCAATGGAGAAACAATAAGAAAATGATTATCCAAAACATGTCGTATGTCCAACAAATCCAAAAATAGGAGACTGAGAACTCAAACATCGTGAACCCTAAGACGAAACTAACCAAAGGTAGACTTGAACTTCTTTGACGTAAACCAGATCATTTCTTCTTCTTGGATTACACAATCATAACAGAATTTATCCGATCAAATCTCGCGTCGATGTAATGCCTAACGGAGGAGCCATATAGGTATTCAAATTTTACAGCACACGCAAGAAAGTCCGAGCATCGTAAATCTGATCGGGTCGGACACATCTCATGTTATACAAGGAAACCTGTTTCGTACGAATACATTCGTTAAATTTCTAAAAAAATAAATAAAATTAAAACTAGTTACATGTTTGGCCCATTCAAATTTACGCTGCTCGGATTATTAGGCGAACATACGGTTTACAAGAATCAAGTAAACGTCATTTCGTCGAATATACTAGAGGGACGTGGTCGGGGGAAAAGTTGTGATCGTTTCACTATAAGAAATGTGCTTGTTTATGACATGACATCTGGTCAAAAAGTCACTAAAGCAACTAGTTTATGACGATTTTTCTAGAGGCATCCAAACTTAGTGACATAAGTAAATATATGTCACAAAATATCTTAAAGCTAGTCCAATTATATATTTTTGATAATATTTGCCATGTTATAAAGAATAGTTTGCAAGGATGGAGTGTCAAATTATTTTATTGATTTTATTAACATTGTTATCCAAGGTGGCACGTGGGTTCAACTACCAAGACGGGTCTAGTAACACCGTAGATGTTGATCAATGTCGTTAATCCTGAACATAATCTATATCATTCTAGTAACCGGCAAGTTAAAGAAATCAAGATGTATATAAAATATAGAAATATTATTTATTGTTAATTATTTCAAATAGTAGATAAAAGTATACACCTATATGAATTTATGAATAACAATAAATAAATAGTTTTTATAATATATATGTGTGGCTACGTTGGATATTAAAATAATAATTAAATAAAAATACATTTCACTATTGGAAACTCAAATTGCCATATGGATGAATTTTTGTTTTGGCCATGGTGACGGGGAAATTCATGATTAACGTGTCGGTTTCGAAAATACCGACAAAAAATACAAATACACACAGGGAAATGTCAAGTTTTTTCTGTACGTGAAAATACACATAGGGTAATTAGAATTACCCTGTCGGTGTTGTTACAACTCACATGAAAAATATTAATTATTCTTTAGATGTTGACTCTGTACGCACGGAAAATTTGCCAACACAGAGGGAAATTGAATTGTGTACAATGGATTTGGCGTTGGCACGTTAACATTGATGTTGGCGCCTTCTGGTGAATAGAAAATACAAAAAGATATCATAAGTGGTGTTTGGATCTAGTGACTAAAATTTAAGAGGTGTGTCGGGATAATATTGTATGGAGTGTTTGGATACTAATAAAAAAACAAATTACATAATCCGTCAGTACTCATGAGATGAATTTTTTAAGCCTGATTAATTCATCATTAGCACATGTTTATGGTAACAACACATTGTCAAATCATGGACTAATTAGGCTTAAAAAATTTGTCTCGCAAATTAGTCACAAACTATGCAATTAGTTTTATAATTAGTTTATATTTAATATTTCATGTATGAATCGAATATTCGATGGGACGTCGCCTAGGAGGGGAACCAACACCACCTAAATCTTAACCCCCCACGAGCCCCACTACCTTCCCTCAGGTCTGTGAGCGCAACAGTGGCTCCGCATACTCCCACAACCAGGACTCCCCGTACCACGACTCTAGGTCCTGTGATGCTCTCCACCACCGGCCAGCGCCTCCAGGTCAGCCGCCGGCAGCCTCCCCCAGGTCCGGCGCCACCAGATCCTCTGCCGGCCGCCGCCCCTAGATCCACCGTCGGCCGTCGCCCCTAGGTCCGGTGCCCCCAGATCTGCCGCCGCCTGCCTCCCCCCAGGACCGGCGCCCCCGATCCGCCGTCGGCCGCCACCCCCAGGCTCGCCGCCGACCGCGGGCCCTCTAGGGCGTGGCCCTAGGCCTGCGTCCGGCCGCCGTCGCCCGATACATGGCCGCGACCATCCAGTCGTGCGGGCGCAGCCCTCACGGCGTGCCACCCGTCACGGGCGCGGCCCCACCCGGACCATGGCGGATCTGCATCCCCTTGACCCCTCCTCACCCCAGCGTCCGGATCTGCAGTTCCGAGTGCAACCACGCCGGGGCATGGCGGCGGCAGTGCCACTTCCAGTGACCAAGGTTAGCCCGTCTTCCTACAGCAGCTGTGAGATTGTGTAGTTTGGGCGATATTTATGTATTTGTGACCAAGGTTAGCCCGTCTTCCTACAGCAGCTGGGTTGAGGAAGGTGGAGCTGCAGCAGCAGCATCATGAGCAGGATGCAGATGTTGGACGAATGGTACGGCTTGGCTTTCTTCCGGTCATTCTGCAGTTCTGGCTATTTACAACTATTCAGACAACATTTAGAACTTTCTTGGTATGCACTAATGTTGTCCTGTGCATTCATGTTAGTGATCCATCCTTGTAATGAACATGTCAACTTGCTCTCTTTGTTGCATGTGTGGCATTTGACAAATATGTACTATCCTATTTTGAGTAGTGACTAGTACAGATTTTTCGACCAAATATCAACATTACTATCCTATATTCAGTACTGACTAGTACAGATTTTTTGACATGGTGATCCACTTTTTAAAGCATGTTTATCTCTTGGTGATCCATGATCTATTTGTTGTACTGCCCTGTGATAACTGATAACATGTCAGATGCTCAGGTAGCTGTGTTGGCTGCTAGCTGCTCAATTTGCTTGGAGAAAAAAGATAATAGAGAAATAAAATTTGAAAGGTTAGATATATAACAAGAGCTCTGGGCAAGAATAGCCTAGAGGAAACAGATATATTGCATCATGTACTGCTCTAAATTTTTGGCCTTTTGAGTTTTTTGGTTATGCTAATTTGCAATAATAAATTGGAGCAGACACTGTTAAGATTACTTATTCAGAGGTTCCTGTTGCAGTAAGTTTGTCAGCTTGAGAAAATTTCAAGCAAAATTTCAATGGCTTATGGAGTTTATTTTAGGCTTTATGGTATGCTTGAAATTGTAGGTGTAGCACAACAGCACTGTCCTACTACTTTAAAAAGAGTGCATTATGATGGCTTGAAATTGTAGGTGTAGCATAGCAGCTTTGAATGAGCCATATCCCTCTTTCTAACTGACATGCTGCCATCCATTTGTACACTCGGGGCCTTTTTTCTCATCCCTGCCAGCTTACCTACAACAATCTGTTGTATGTGTATATATTGATTAGATAGGTTTTTTCAAATGATCCATCTACTTTGTGACGAGATCCTAACATACAGGTATGTTAAGCCTCGGGTCCAATGGTTCCCACTACTAGAAATACCCCCCTGTAGTGACGCTTTATTTATATGTTAGACACGTTTTATTTCGTCTCTACAAGATTGTAGACACGTTTTTATAAAGCGTGTTAGAAGCGTCTTTGCATGGACCGTGTCATGACTTGTAGAGACGAGTTCCATAAGCGTGTCAAGGTGATAAAGAGACGTTAATTGCGTGCCTATGCATATTGATACACTTTTATAGATACTTTTATATAACGTGTCTATTTGTGTAGTTACGTTATATAGCAACGCTTCGTTATGTGCTAAGAAATGTAGAGACGTTCTCATAGATGCATTTATATTATGTGTGTACTAATGTAGTCACGTTATTCGTTATACAGTGTCATGGATTCAACTTACTAAAACTTAAAAATCGAGGCAGGGGGGACTATATTACACACTTGCGGAATTCTTCAAGATCATCGCAGTGTCGCAACACGTATCGATGTGCCTGAACAAGAAGTTGGCTATCAAATTGGCTTACAGTAGTAGCCTTTCCAATTGGTTCTCCAGCACTCTCAAACAAGTACACGTCTTTCATATTGTCTGAAGGTTCAGGGTTTCTAGCTGCTCTGGTAAAACGAGTACTTCCATCAAGAAATCTAGAACAGAAGGTCATGCACTCCTCCATGCAATATCCTTCAGCAATCGAACCTTCTGGGTCAGCTCTATTCTTCACAAGCGCTTTAAGCTGAACAAAAAATCTAAATGAAATCATGAACACATATTAGTCGAACGAATTATTGACAATAACACTGCAATATGTAATTACATACCTCTCCATGGGGTACATCCACCCGTAGTGAACAGGGCCACCAAGTTTAACTTCTTCTACCAAGTGCACCATGAAGTGCACTGTCACCGTAAAAAATGATGGCAGGAAAATTCTCTCCATATTACATAGTGTTACCACAATACTCTTGTTAGAGTACGTCAGGGGCCTATTGGGCCTGGGTTGGCTGTATAGCCCATTAGTGCTAGGGTTAATTAGAGATAAGGGTCGCTTACTTAAGGGTCAAGTAAGCCTTGCTTGGGAGTCAAGTAAACCTCTCTATATAAGGAGAAGAGATGTATCGATCTAATCAAGCAAGAATTAAGAAGGAAATCCCTTCCCTCTTGCTTGGCTGTGGGCAAGGCCCCCGGCCTCCCTCGCAGCCCCAGCCGCACTGTAGCACCGCGGGTACTGTAGCCCCTGTCGCCGCCTCTCCCTCAGCTCTCTCCCTCTCAATCCTAGTAGCCACATAACAACTCTCTTGAAGGTTTTGTAGCTCATCAGCATCTATCACCTTGGAGCATAACTTCTTAAAGAAATTAGATATTCCAATAACTATTTCCATGACATCTTTGCTGGGGTAACAGGATCGGAGTGCCACTGGAAGGATGTCATGTAGTAAAACATGATATTGGTGACTTTTTAGTCCACTCAATGTACAATCTTTCATGTTGACAGACCTAGAAATGTTTGATGCATAGCCATCAGGTGTTCTCAGGTTTTGGATTACTGAACAGAGAACCTCCTTTTTTCTCTAGACATGGTAAAAGGTGCATCAGGCACAGTTTGCTTTCCTTTATCTACCACAGGATGAAGATTGTGTCGAATTCCAAGTTCCACTAAGTCTAGTCGTGCTTTAAGACCATCCTTTGATTTGGAAGGAATATCCAATAAAGTTCTAATTAAGTTTTCACATAGATTTTTCTCTAAGTGCATCACATCTAGATTGTGCCTTAGTTTGTTCTTTTCCCAGTATGGTAGCTCAAAGAATATTGACCGCTTTTTCAACCAATCTTCTGGCTTCTTCTCCTTATTCTTGCCACTGTTCCCATCTTTCTGTTTCTTTTGTCCTCCTCTTTTACGCTTGGATTTCTGGTGGCTTTCATCTTGCTTTCCTTTCTTTTTTCCTTTTTTATTGTCCTTTTTATTCTTTGTTGTGCGGTCCTTTTTCCCTAAAGCAAAAACTCTGCCTTCTAACATTCTCAAAACAGAAGTACCACTCATTGTTTCAGGTGCAAGTCCAACATCTGTCGTGCCATCAAACTGGTTCTTTTGCCTTCGATATATGTGGTTCTGTGGGAGCCATCTACGATGTCCCATATAGCACATCTTTTTACCATTCTTCGGGTGAAATGATTTTGTTGCCGCACCACATGATGGGCATGCATATTTACCACCGGTGCTCCAGCCATACAGGTAAGCTAATGCAGGAAAATCATTTATAGTCCACAATAGTGCAGCTCGGAGAGGAAATTTCTTTCGAGAAGAGGCATCACATGTTTTCACTCCTTTCCATAATTCTAAGAGTTCATCGATCAAGGGCTGCAAGTATATATCAACATCATTCCCTGGAGAATCTGATCCTGGAATGATCATCGACAACAGTAAAGATGTTTGCTTCATGCAGATCCAAGGTGACAAGTTGTATGGAACCAGCATTACAGGCCATGTACTATGCTTTGAACTCGTATTCCGAAAAGGGTTAAATCCATCACTTGCAAGACCAAGGCGTACATTACGAGCATCGGCTGCAAAATCAGGATTTCTACGATTAAAATCTTCCCAAGCTTCACCATCTGCTGGATGTCGCAGTTTTCCATCTTTCGTACGTCCAACATCATGCCATTGCATGTCTTCTGAAGTTTTGGTAGTTGAAAATAACCTTTGGATCCTTGGTATCAATGGAAAATAACGCAACACTTTTGCTGATTTCTTTTTCTTCTTAGGTTTAGCTGCAGAACCAATCTTCTTAGCATCTTTCCAACGAGAGCTCTTGCACACATCACAAAAATCTTTCTTAGCTGCATCTCCTCGGAAAAGCATGCAATCTTTGGGGCAAGCATGTATTTTCACATAGTCAAGGCCTAAAGCACGGATGATTCTCTTCACTTGATAATATGTCTTAGGTAGGTCTGCCTCAGGAGGATATGAATCAGCTAGCACACCCAGAAGTGCTGTAAATGATTCTTGTGTCCAGCCATTTAAGCACTTTAAGTGATATAAGTTGACCAAAAATGACAACTTAGAAAATTTACACCCAGGATATAAGCTTGTGTGTGCATCCATCAAGTATCTTTCATATAGATTCTGTTCACTCTCCTTAGCATTGTCATCTGCAGGATGCTCATCCTCAGCTACAGAATGTTCCATATCTGCAAATCCTGATTCAACATCATCTACTTCACCTTCAGACATACTTGGTACTGATTCGAACATTTCAGCCCTGCAAAAGGCAGCTTGAAGTAGTTCTTGCATGCCATCTTGTACTGCAGCAGCCCTTGGGACACCCGAAGTAGGCAAATTTGTAGTGTTATTTGGAACGTCAACAAATGCTAATGGTGGACTGTCATACATTTCTCCATGATGAACCCTGGTCGTATAACCTTGAATAATACCATCACATCTCAAATGTGTCCTGACTTCATCATGACTCTGGTTTAATCTGTTTTTGCATTTTTTGCAAGGACAAAGTATCTCGCTATCACGTGGAATGTCGCGGTAAGCAAAATTCAAAAACTGCTCAACACCATCTTGATATGCAGTATCCTGTCTTGGCTTACTCATCCAACTGTGATCCATCACCCTTTGACAAGAATAAAAATGAAATGGAATCAATCAGTGTTTTTCTTTTGCAATACATATAGATATCTGAGCACGAATAATAGTACTAGATTTGCACCAACAAAATCAGATCAACAATCTTTTAGGTACATAATAAACCATAAACCTATTCAATGCAGGCATGGTACTGGATAGAATCTTAATTTGAGCTGTAAGCTTAGCTTGAAATTTACATTTGTTTTTAAATCAAGATTATGACTATAATAATTAGGTGACACCACAATTGGATCTGCTCCATTTTCATTTCTTCTTCAACAGATCAATCTTGGATAGGAAAAAATCATATATCTATATCTAAATTCAGCCTCCTGGTTTTAGTTCACCTTGAAGCCCTCTTCTAAATTCAACCAACACACTGAGAAAACTATAGTTGCAATATATATATATATATGCAAACTCATTTCTATAAATAAATAAATAAGATCAGCCCAAAACATCAGTTATCTGCATATGAACATATTAATTAAAATCCTCCTTGCAGCCCAATGCTAGCAGTCAATTGGCATAATAAAAATATTTTATCCTCGTATCATTGAATCCTGAATGGAACTCATATACTAAATTGCTAACAACATATAGTGCCACCTAGCCATCTCTAGTTTTCTGCAGTTCTAGGATTATAGAAGCTGCAGAATTGATCAACTTCACCAGTGGACTATAGACCAGAATAATATACAATGACAATGACTCACTAGTTATTGACATCCGTTGCATATCCGAAATCCAACACAGAACAAACAGATTACTGCCCCGGATCTCACCTGTTAGCCTGTCCAGACGACATGTAGAGCAGAGCAGCGGCAAGGAGCAGGACGGGGCAACGAGCTGTACTCTAAACTCTGCTAAACAGCAGAACTGCAGATACCACAGGGGGCGGGGCAGCCGATCGGGCCACGATGGTCGCCGCCTCACCAGTTCATGGCGCCCTGTGGTGGCCGGTGGATCTGCTGGCTGCTGCTACCTGCCGTAGTGCCACTGAGAGGCTGAGGCCAAGCCGCCGAGAGGCGCCTCCAGGCTCCGGCAGAGGGGAGCTGAGGTGAGCAGATGCCAGACACGAACTCAGGACGGACCTGAGGGGAGCAGATGCGGCCGGCGAGTGCGGCGTTTAGGAGAGAGGCCGATTGGATGAGGGGCTCTCTGGTTGCGTTGGGTCGTTAATAGTTTTCGCTGCGTTATCTGTTATATACGCGCCTTCTAGTCTCCGACTAGGATCTTCCGAGTTCACGATCTCCACCAGGCTAGGCTGCACGCAATATATATATATATATTATTAATGAAAGTTTTAAATAATTACTCAAAATCCACCGTCTTTTCCTTCAAATGCACGAGATCCACCCCTGTCCCCCTATCTACTTTAAAAGTATCGATTGATAATCTGTCTATGGAGAAGAAAAAAAGATACACTACTAATAATAGGATATCATCTATGGAGAAGTGAGATAAGTAATCCGATGTACAACTTGAAGGTTGGAGAATGTACTTTACACTAATTTTAACTATCAATTGCTTCATTCATTCAAAAGATTTATATCTCTATCTCTTCCCTTCCCTATTATATATATGTACTCCTAAAAAGACTAACGTCATCATCGACCTTGCTCATGAGTCCGCGTCCGAACACAAGTAAAACTTCACTCGGAGCTCATGTGTTCGCATCCTACGCGGTTACGATACGAAGACTGTATCCACGTGCCCGCGTCCAATACAAAGTCCTCGGAGATTAATATATGAGCTCTCCAATTAGACTAGTGGTAGTGCTGCCATCTAAAATACCACATATTCGAGGTTCCAACACTAGCACTATTTTGTATTCTTTTTATGTTATAAATATTCTATAGTATTTTTTGTGTTCTTTTTCATAATATTACATTATTATATACTATAGTGGCCAAGAGTACAAGCAGGTCCAAAAAACACTTGAGGTAAAATGTTAAGAAAAATATTTTCAAATTTTAAACTTAAATTTTTATGGCGATATAAAACGGTACAAATGTTTAGTAACTACAAATTTGTAGCAAAAATATGTATGAGAGGACTTAGATATGTAATGGATGTTAATAATTTTTTTTTACAATGTCACTACATGCTACCGATGGATGAAGGCACATTTAATTTTGTTTCACTTTGAGATGTTTTCAATATCGTATCAAGAAGCATGTTTACATGACTATGTACGATTATTGATACACTTTGCAATATGTATAAATTATACTAACGGTTTAAAGCGTGTCTTACTTCGTGTTATTTTGAGACGACTTTAGTATTGTATCAAAAAACATCTTTAATTGTCTATGGAGCGTTCTATGATATGCTTTGTAACGTGTCTAGAAGCTAGTGACGATTAAAAGCGTGTTTACCACCGTGTCACTTTGAGATGCTTACAATACCATCATAAAAAGTGTCTTTAGATGCCTCTTAACACTAAAAACGTGTCTAATATTGTGTTATGTTGACACGTTCATAAAATCATGTTAAAAAGCATCTTTACATGACTATGTAGAGACTTTTAGTGTGCGATACTATAAAAGCGTGCCTAGAGCGATTTTTTCTTGTAGTGTCCCGAACGAAGAAGACCCCCCGATCGACCCCTTTAGGATCGCCTAGGGGCTCGGGGGTATGTCCATCGGGCATGCTCGCGCGCACCCTCTGGGAAAAAGACCCGGCCGAGCCTAACTCGACTGTAGCTTTCGCCTGGGGCTCGGGGGCTTCCTCGAACCTTGGGCTCCCGATCTACGGCACGACCAAGCCCGGTCCTTGGCTTCTGCCCGGCTAACGATGCCAGCCAAGGCCCGGGCATAAGAAGACAAGCCCCAGGCTACCGATGCCCGGGGGCTCTCTGGCGTCGCTCCCTAGGCGTGCCCCTGCCAACTGCTCCTCCGACAGGGTCACGTCCGGAGCATGACACAAGAAGACAGCTTCCCGTGGCCTCGGGGGCTTGGGGGCTTCTGGGCCTGCGCGTCAGCCCTTGGAGCTGATCTCCTTCGCCACCAAGAAGACTCCAGAAGGTCTCACCTGGGGGAGGGCGGTCCAAGCGACACCGCCTGACACGCAGAGTGTTAGAACAGAGCAGCCGGACGATGCCCAGGCTTCATCGGCTCCAAGACACCTCGACGGTCCATGGTGCACCGCTGCTGCAAGCCCCTCCTATACTTCGGCGCACGTAGACCATATACTAGAAACCCCAAACCGCCTTGTACCCGACCTATCTCGTTATATAAGGGATAAGGTCGGACCTAGAGGGGAGAGGAGGCGAGTTCGATCGCCAGACACTCCATTCCATTCCATCTGCCTTCGCTCTGCACCGAGGGCAAGGCAATCCGGAGAGGGGCACCGAGAGCCTCTACTCCACCGCATCCCGCCGTCTTCTTCCTCTCCAACGAGGGGGAAACTCCACCGGCGGCAAGGCAACCTTAGGATTAGCACCGAGCTAATCCCCTACCAAACTTCTCTTCCTTTACATTCTGTTGTAACAACTAAGATTTGGGTGCTATTGAGTATAAGGATCATCAGCTGCTGGACGTAGGGATCAAAATGGCCCGAACCAAGATAAACCGTTGCGTCTTCTCTGCATGATTCTTGTGTTCCTGAGTCCACCCGAGCCACCGGAGACCCTGTACTCTGATACCGACTCAAAACAACATGCTTGCCGCGGTTTCAATCCCACGACAGCTGGCGCGCCAGGTAGGGGGCAGCGTGAAGTGTGATTCTGGCTCTACGATGGTCGGAGCCACCCACCTTGTCGCCGGTGCAAGCGGCACCGCCCCAGACGGCGGTGTTCGCTTCCTCGGCGAGTTCTCCGTTGCGGCCAGCGCCTTCGCTCTGGGCCAGGTCCTAAGCTTTGGGAGCCTGGCCTACATCGTCGACTGCTACGGCGAGCTTCGTCCACCCCACGTGGCTGCACCGGCGGGCAATGAGCCCCCGGCGCTGCCTCCTTCTCCAGGACTCTTGGGAGCAGATCTCGAGGTTTTGGCTTGTTAGATCCAGCGCGGTCTGGGCCCGAACCCCACCGTGTCTAACCGTCGCCAGATGTTCTACATGCTGGCCAACGTCCACCACCAGATCGCCACCGGTGAGGTGCTCCCGCCGCCTGATCGCTTTTGGTACTACCTCCCGTACCTGCCTTTTGGGATACAGAGCGCGACGGCATCCTTCCAGCTAGAGCTGGAGCACCTCATCAGTCGTGAGGCGCCGTGGAGCATCATCCTCTCCGGCATGGCGGGGACTGATGTCCTCTCGCTCCGCGCCTTCCTCGAGTTCCTCTCGGGCAATGGACCAAAGTACGACTCCAATGACATCGATTACAACGCCCCGCCACGCATGTGCTACCACATCGGTGGCGAGGCTCAGCCCGAGGAGGTGCCCGGGCTCAAGCCGTCGGACCAGAGTCCTCGTAGCCATGCGGCCTACCTTCAGGAGAAGGTGGACCGCTTGTGTGCTCGACAGGTGGACTTGGAGGCCGCCGAGGCAGAGCTCGAGCGCCAAAGGTAGGACTTCGCGTGGTTGCTGCCACGCACCCTCTCGGTGACGACAACGACGCTCGCTCGGGGGCTCCTAGCGGCCTCTGCGTCCCCCACGCGGTGTACAACATGGCGGCCGCCGCTTGCCGCCTGGGAGACATCTCCGACACACCAGACCCGAAGACCAACGAGTGGTTGAACGAGGCGAAGCGGCTCCTCCGCGTCGTCCTCGAGCAGTAGGCCGAGAGTTCAGCCTCTCGGCGCCGCGCCGCACTCTCCCGGCCGTCCCAGACGACGGCCACTGCCAATGGGGGGCGCTCCAACGCTCACACCCCACAGGCGACGACACCTCCAGCAACAGCTTCGACCGACCGCGGACCCGGGGCGTCAGTCCTCGACAGGAGCGAAGGTGCGACCTCTCTCCTCGGCGTCCCCCTGCGCAGCACCGGATCGGCGACGCCCGCGACACCATCGAGGCCAGGCGCCACGCTCAGGCGCGGT